CAACATTTGTTGTTTCTTGCCTTGTCCATTTTTGCCATTCTAACTGGTGTAAGGTAGTATCTCACTGTGGTTTTGATTTGAATTTCCCTGATGGCTAATAATGATGAACATTTTTTCATGTGTCTGTTAGCCATTTGTATGTCTTCTTTGGAGAAGTGTCTGTTCGTGTCTTCTCCCCATTTTTTAACTTAAGGGCTGGTATCCAGGATCTATAAAGAACTTCTCAAACTCAACACTGAAAGGTACTTTTAACTAGAAGTAATATGTGCTTTATCAGCTAATTTTAGACCACCTGTGTTCTGTAAATTCTCTAAGCTGTAACCTGTTTGTGCTTTCTCTCTCTCTCTCTGTCAAAAAAATAAATAAAATCTTTTAAAAGAAATATTCTGGGAGCACCTGGGTGGTGCAGTTGGTTGAGCATCAGACTCTTGGTTTCTGCTGGGGTTGTGATCTCAGGGTTGTGAGATAAAGCCCTGCATCAAGCTCTGCGCTCAGCATGGAGTCTGCTTGAGATTTTCTCTCCCTCTCCCTCTGCGTCTGTCACTCGTGCTCGCTGTCTCTCTCAAATAAATAAATAAATACTAAAAACATTCTGTGCATTTGTAAGAGAATGTATACATATATATTCTATTTATATTTTAAAAATACGGGTAAATGCACATGTACACTATTCTGTATCTTAGCTTTTCTCGCCTATTTGTTAAGATTGGTTTCTTTCCATATTAGTATACATACATCATTGTCATCCATTTTTAGGGCTTCCATCTATTGCGTGTATGTACAAACCATTTGTTTCTCTATTCCCACCTACATTGCTTGTTTTATATTTTTTACTTCTTACAGTGTCACATCTAATACTCTTGTATATTTATCTTTTTCTCTGTGTGTGTGTGTATAGGATAAATTCCTAGAAATAGAATTGCCAAGTCAAAGAGTATGTGTTGTTTTTTTAATTGAACTAAATACCACCTTTAATTTCCTCCTCACAGTGTTTGAGGCTTCCTTCTCCCATTCATTCCAAAATAGTGTATCATCAAGTTTTAGATTTTAGTCTATTTGATAAGTGAAACGTATCTTGTTTTTGTGTTTGCATGTATTTAATCAGTTTTATGGCTTCTGAGCTTGTACCTACCCATACATTTTCCCCTTGCATTTTCTTCTAGCATTTTTTGTTTTATTTTTTACTATAAAATTTTGTTAAATATATCATTTATTGGTATTAGGAATAAGGTAGAGTTCCAACTTAAGTTTTTTAAAGGTAACTACTATGACCCTTTTTTATTAATAATCTGTTTTATCCTCAATGTTTTGAAATGCCATTCTTATCTTTGTACTTGAGTTTATTTCTAGACTCTTTTTTTTTTTTTTTTTTTAAAGTTTTGATTTAAGTAATCTCTACACCAGCGTGGAGCTAGAACTCATGACCCCAAGATCAAGAGTCGCATGCTCTTCTGACTGAACCAGCCAGGTGCCCCTTATTTCTAGATTCTTAATTTTCTTCTGTAGTTTCTCATTATATTACCAAACTACCATGTTGATAAATACATACCATCTTTTTTTTTTTTTAATAAATAATTGCTACTGTTTGGGCATATATTTTGTGATGCTTTATTTTTTTTCCCATTAGTGAAA